AACAAGGCTGCTGAGCCCAGGCCAAGGGGAGAGGTCTGTCTCTGTGAACGAGCGGAGGGGAGGGGAGTCAGGGTGGGGAGAGCAGCAGGTATGGGGCGGGCTAGTTTAAAAATGTATCTTCAAGACCCTAACAGTCCTCTATTTTATCCCTAAAATTTCAACCACTGCAAAGAAATCAAGAAACAAGTGCTTCAGACATTCCTCATATTCTTTACTGAGGACTGAAGAAAAAGCAGCAGCAAAGCCCAGAACCAAAGGGTTAACATTAGATGTGAGAGGTGACCTCCTAACTGGGCTGGCTCTCGGGTACCGGAAAATACCAAGAGGAACTGGGGAGGGAACTTTCCTAGGAGACTCTTAGAAAAGGTACAGAAACCCAGGCTTAATGTGTAGACTTCAATCTCCCTCTTTTTTTTTTTTTTAACTTTTTATTTTATATTGGAGTATAGCCAATTAACAATGTAATAGTTTCAGGTGCAAAGCAAAGTGACTCAGCCATACATATACATGTATCCATTCTCCCCCAGACTCAATCTCCTGCTTTTTAATTTTCCCCTTCCTTTGGACAATCATTAGGCTATAGTCTTGAGGATGGTCTGGTATCACAGAGATGAGAGAGAAAGCAATTCAGTAACTCGTCCAAGGTCATGAGTAACTGAGAGGTGTGAGAGGAAATATTCAGAGGTATTAAAGGATGACTCCATCCTCCACCATCTCCCCAGGGGCCACAACAAAGGAGAGATGCCAGAAAAAAACAAAGAGAACACACAAAAAAATCAACCATTTGTCTCGGACTTCCTAAAAATGATCTCAAAACCAAAGCTGAGACAAGAGACTTTTGATTTCCAAGAACCGGGTTTGCTGTAACTCAAACGGCCAAAGGCTGGAAGAAGCAGCGTGAGATCAGAAAGAGAGCTAGTTAGACCCTGGCCTCACACACTTTGGACACTCACATCCAGTACTGATCACAGTTGGGGCTACAAAAGGAAGGTGAACAGGCAGAGGCCGCTGAGTCCCTAGGAAACGTTCTGCTCACCACAGCTTTCCGGTCTCCAAACTCAGGGCTGGGGCCTGGGCAGGAAGAGGGACTCCTGAAACCCCAGACAGCTGGAGGTCCCGCAGCAAAGAGGACCTGTGTCTTTCTACCAATATGAAGCCCATTTTGAGGTAAGTCTCACAAAGATGTCCTCTGCGTGCAAGAGAAATGGCTGCTCGGCAGATCCAAGGAGAGACGGCTTGAGAGAGCAAGCTCACTGCAGTCTTTCTTGACACCAGAAGGTCACAGAAGTTATGTGTGGCCCTGAAGGGGGCCACGGAGGGGCAGTGAGAGGATGAGTAAACTCAGAAGAGTAGGCTTAGAAGAAAGAGGACTCGGTATGAGTGAGCAGAGGTCACGGACAGGATCTTAAACATCTCTCCTTGGCTGCACTCAGGATGAAACATTGCTAAGACAACTAATTAAAAACTGCAAAACCCCATAGAGGTAGATTCCAAAGAAAGAGACACACCAGGAGCCACCTGACACCAATATGGTAGCGCATCCCACCCCTACTTCCTAGAATTTAGATATAATCCCAAATTGACAGAATTTACCTGGAAATGACTTCACTCATGTTTGTATTACCAGAAGGAACCACGGCTCAAAATAGAGGTAAGGTTGAAGGTAAAATATCATCATCAACAACAGTAATGTCACATTTTTGACACACCTGCATTTGTGAGACTGTCAAATGTCATTTCTGTAATAGGCACAGACACAACACTGCTCTGGATGCCGCTCAGAGCCACGGTGTGTCTCCTGGACGGAGTCTGCCCGTAGACGCCACTCCCACCGCAGCTTCAGAGAGGGGCGGCTGCCAGGTAAGCGGGTGTGGACTGGTGGGCACGCCTCCTCCGCCTTTCACCCAACAGCCAAGTGGCCAAATGAAAGCTGCCCTTTACTTCACCTCCAATCCCTCTTGTGCATCCACCCCCTCCTCACCCCAACTGCCACGACCTCAGTGCGGCGCTCACTGCCTGGCGCAAACTATCGCGAGAGCTGCGCGGAAAGAATCGTCAAATTAAGGGAGAAAGTCAGCCTTCCCTTGACTGATTCTGTCTGGGTGAAATGTTCCTCATTTAAAAGTTTCATTTCACATAATGACCCTGGGGATCTATCAGTGCCCTCACTGCCCGTAATATGCCCTTATCCTCCAGGGAAACACTGATCGAATCCGTATTAAATAGTGAAGCATCCTATCCTGACAGAGGATTATACTCTCCTTCATTAGGATACTGCTGGATATGTAATAAATTAACTACGTTCAGTCTTATCACCAACAGGTAGTTCCTGCTTCCCCTCATGCTTATGTAAAATATTTGCTTTACGTCACAGCAGAAATTGGGTCTTTAACCAAAAAGGATAATCTCAGAGCCTCATGGAAAGAAATGTACCAAGTTTGATGGGTATTTCAAATAACAGATGCCTTGTTACAGGCTTCCAAGGTGATATTTCTTAGATGATTGCCAGATGATACTAGAGACAGAGTGTGGAGTTCCAGGACTCTGATGACTTCATAAAAGCAGACAGTTGACCCAAGAACCAGTGGAACAACAACAACAAAAAAAGCAGACAGTTGACCCAAGATCCAGTGGACTGCAGGAACTAATGAAGGAAACATAATTTTGATCACTGGTTTGAGACTATTGCTGGTCTTATTTTTTATTGTTCTCATTTCTGATAGGCATATAATGAAGTCCATTTGCTTTCTTCCTGACCTGTCTCTCACTATTAACTTAGTGGTCTGTGCTTTTACAAACATTTGGAAACGAAACCCTTTCAAGTGGTAATCTTGTTCTCACTAACCTCTCAGAATTCTGGGACAACACTTTCTTTCTGAGTCTTTTTACTTTCAGTGCCAATGTAGTTACTCTTGCACAGACTCGATAAGAATTTGTTCTAGTTTTCACCAGTAAGCAACTGAACAAATAGATGGTACAGCCAAGGCCATACCTGGAGAGTCATATTTGAGACTGAATCTCATTTAATCAGATGTGACAAACCCCCCATGAAGAAAAAAGGGTTGTACTTTGTTTAAAGAACCATGAAGCCCTCCCAGAAAACTACAGGCAAAATGGTAGAAATGGCCTTCTTGGATTGGTTTCCTTGTCTCAGAATAGAAGACTAAATGAAAGCAGTAAAGAATATACTTGGAATAAGAGAGGCTATTGAGAGTTCCTAAGAAGATTCTTAAGAAATCTTCAGGGCTTCCCTGGTGGCGCAGTGGTTGAGAGTCCGCCTGCCGATGCAGGGGACACGGGTTCGTGCCCCGGTCCGGGAAGATCCCACATGCCGCGGAGCGGCTGGGCCCGTGAGCCATGGCCGCTGAGCCTGCGCGTCCGGAGCCTGTGCTCCGCAACGGGAGAGGCCGCAACAGTGAGAGGCCCGCGTACCACAAAAAAAAAAGAAATCTCCAGACAGAAGTTAATTTCGTGGGCTTTGTAGTTGCTTACCATGGCACGGCTTTAGGTTTTCTGACCGAAGTACAAGGAGACTTGTGTAGATTAGTTAACATTTCCTTTTTTTTTTTTGAAATTAATTAATTAATTAATTATTTTGGCTGTGTTGGGTCTTTGTTGCTATGCACGGGCTTTCTCTAGTTGTGGCAAGCAGGGGCTATACTTCGTTGCGGTGCGTGGGCTTCTCATTGCAGTGGCTTCTCTTGTTGCAGAGCACGGGCTCTAGATGCACAGGCTTCAGTAGTTGCGGCTCGTGGGCTCTATAGGAGTGCAGGCTCAGTAGTTGTGGCACACGGGCTTAGTTGCAATGCAGCACGTGGGATCTTCCTGGACCAGGGCTCAAACCTATGTCCCCTGCACTGGCAGGCAGATTCCTAACCACTGCGCCACCAGGGAAGTCCCTAGTTAACATTTCTTACTAGAGTTTTATAGATGATCAGTCCAAAATGCAATGAGATCAGCTTTTTGGTAACCAAGAGTAATCTATGGAGCTTATTTGTGACCCCAGTGCTTTACAGTTTACAATGTCCTTCCACATCCTGGGTTAAACCTCCCAAAGAGCCTTCTAACACAACATTCCAGCAACCACCATGAACAAATTTACACTTGAACATCTCCATCTGTGTGCCTTGGAAAAGACAAAACAGCTTAGGAAGAGGTAAGTGGATAAACACTTACACCCTATTCATTCTCCTCCATCACAAATACCTGCAGGCTTTAGAAGACACGCGTGTGCACACACGCACACACACTCACACACAGATGTCCAACATTTTCCGTGGGACAGCCCCCTACAGCTGAGAAAGCCCAGCTCCACAGAAGGCCAACGCAAACTTTTATCTTGGGTCTCATTACGGAAGGCTTGTAAGGGGCTGAGACCAGTGGGCCAACATTACTTTCTCCATCACGAAAACATCCAGATAAGCCCGACCTTTGCCGCCCCTTGTCGGCCATGGAAGAGAAACCGCAGCGCCTGGGGAGTTATTATTCTTCCATCCACCCCCTGGCTCTGTGCCGCATGCCAGGCAGAGGCAGAACATATTAGTAGAGAACTGCTTTTGCACGGGGATACTGTCCATCATCGTGACATCTCTGCAGTCTATGTTTTGAAATCTGGCCTTTCAAAGGATTTAGAGATTAGAGTTCAAGGAAGTCCAAGGCGCACCCCAGGGCAGGCCTGGTCTTAACGCTGAAACCCTTCCCTTCCTACACCATAGCCAATTTGACCTCTGGAAGAACCTAGTGCATATCTTGGTCCAACAGAATTACTTTCAAAGACTCTCAGCTCTTCTTTTTCTATTTAATGGCAGCTGAAGGCAGTTCAGTTTGGCGTCCCTAAATGACTAGGGTACTTGCCGAGCGTAACGGTCTCCCCAGCCCGAGCTAGAATGCCTCTGCTAAGGGCCAGGTTCCTGGCGTCTGGGGAGGGAGGACCTTGGCCATGTCAGGCCACCCTGACCACACAGCCCCCCTTAAGGGGGTGTCCTGCGATGCCCACTCACCGTTCTTCTCTGCCTTGTGTTTTGGTGGCTTGGGCTCCGGGAGACATGGACAGGGCCCGTCGCAGAGGGTGGTGAGACTTTTGCCAGTAGAACAAGCATGGAACTCCAACTTGCACTGCAAAAGACAGACAGAACAAGCCTTAAGAATACTGTCATGTAGACCCCTCCCCAGCTTCCTTAGGAGCCTGCCAGTGCCCTTCTAACCACAGTTAGGCTAACAGGAGCAAAGACAGAGAGAAGAGGCGTTCATCTCTGTTAAAGGTCTGAATTACAGGATGCTAACTAAGAAATGGCCTTCTGTGTTTGCCCAAATGCACAGGATAACATCTAAAAACACTGCACAGGGAGGCTTAGTTTAGTAGGTGGTAAACTCAACCATAACTGTTTATGCAAGTATCAGGATGAAACTTAACATCTGTGGAGTCCCAGAGGGTCCACAAAGACAAAAGGCTGAAGGCTGCTCCAACTCGTTCCCTTACCCCCACTAGGGAGGCTCTGCCAGTGTAGCCCTCCTAGTCACGCTCAGCTGCTCACCCGCTCACCCTCTTCCTGGGGAGGAAGGGCAACAATCTACTTAGTAAGTTTGGATGGTGTGTGAGGCCCAGGCCTTCCCCCGGGAGCAAGCGAGGAGTGAATGCTTTGGCCTCAACCATCCAAAACCCAAGCTTGACACAGTCTTTCCCCCCAGAGGATGCCTGTGGTTGTCTGAGTAGCCTGGGACTGGGTGGAAACGTCCACTGAATCCTAGGATTCAAAATTAGAAGCCCCAAAGCCACACAACGTCCTGTCAACCCTTTCATATTTTGGCCGCTGTCTCCAGTTCTTTACCCTTAAGTCTCAACTGATTCGGAGCCCAAGCAGGAAAGGAGGAGGTTCTTTACAGATGCAAAAGACCACAACGATTAACAGCATTTTATTATTACTACATTATGGAATAAGAAATGGAGACTCAGAGGCTAAATAACTTGTGAAAGCTCAGGACACGCACAATCCAGGATTCCAAACCCCGTCTGACCGACTCCAGGGCCAAGCACTTAACCGTCCCCATCACTGTGTCTGTCACGTGGAGGGACCGAGAGAACAGATGGCCTGCACTGGACTCCGCGTGTGGCTAACTATGCGGCTGGGCTACTGGCCTGGGTCGGAGTTGTCTGAGAGTTCCCTCCCTTTTTGACCTGCAAAATTCTCTAGATCAAGGCCTGTGTGCAATCAGGCTTCTGCAAAGGTCCACGGGCCCAGAACCACGCTGGTATCTGCTGAAGGTTCAAAGGAAGGGGAGACGGGCAGAAGGGATGGAGCACCCGCGGTGCGTGCAGCTCTTGTCAGGTGCCATGCGGAATCTTTCAAAGGGAAGAAAAGGGGAGATATGGTCCTTGCCCTCGGAAAGCACAAACGCGTACCTTTGAAAAGGCCGCCAGCGTTTGCAAAGCAACACATGAGTGCACATGAATCCCGGCTCCTTGTGAGATGACGGGGTATTCAGTCCCCACACTGATTACACCCCGAGCATAGGGAGAGAGGGCTTTCAACCTACACGTGCTGGAGTCACTCGTGTAATTCCAACCGTCGGCCATGCAGTCACCTGCGACCCTTGCAGAGAGAGCACGGCAGATGAGCCAACGGGGAGCTGGCTTCCTCTCGATGCAAAACTCCCTTTTGTGCACACTGCTGGGTGTCTGGTGTGGCCCAGTGTGGTGGCAGGCATGCTGGGGGCCATATGAAAGGAAGCCACGGCCCAGACCGCAAACGTCGATTAACGGACGTAGTGAGGAAACAGAACATGTGCGACCACGTGGATGTGACGATGGGGAGGGGACGGATATGTGTGTGTGCAGGGATGCAGCACAGAAGAGACCCCAGGTATGGGCCGTGCCCGCAGATGGTCCAAATGGACAGAAGATGCACCAAGGAGAACGCTGGAAGGTGGCAGGTGGGTCCCCATTGTAAGAAGCTTCTTTTTAACTAGCACAGCCTGTGTGCACGTGCCCAGGGCTAGAGGGGAGACCACTGCTACTGGCCCCGCCCCGCCCCCTCCTCCTCCCCTGGGCTAGCTCTCTGGAACAATCCTCAGGCTCAGCCTAGTGATTCTCATAATATTTTCTCAACAGAATCCCTAAAGCTAATTTAGAGGGGGAAATACACTTTGTTTTTTACATGTCAACTTATTTTATGAAGTCAAAATTAGTACAGTGACTTGCTCTAAAGCCTTATCATACTGTGACTGCAATTGCCTGCTTCTTTCTGTGACAGACGGTAATCCTCTCCCCAAACATTCTCTGGCCTCCCCGGAAGAGGAATCTATACTTTGCTCAGGGCCGTGTGTCATGAGATCTGATGTCCCCTCTGTGGTGACAGCAGTCTTGACCACATGACTCGCTCTGGCCAGCAGATGGTGAGTAGGAATGATCCAAGCCAGGTTTGTGTGACATTTGAAAAACCACTGCTTGGTTTTCCCCTCTTGCTTTTTCCCTCTGTTATGGAAATGGCACGTGTCCCACAAGGGCCGCTCCTTCTGCCTGGGACCCAGACGGCAGAGGACACGGAACAGAGCTGAAGCGAACCCACAGCAAGCATGCAACGTGAACAAGGAGCTAATGCTTGCTGTCACAAGCCACTGATGTTTGGGGACTGCTTGCTACCACAGCATACTTTAGCAAAAGGTGACTTCCTACTAGACCCTAAAGTACTTAATGGCAGGGAAAAGTCTCAGTCGCGGTCTTATCCCTGGCATGACATGATACACATATAGCCCTGGCACACAGTAGGTGTGCAGTCAATAGCTGCTGAATGATGAAGGCAGGAGGATGGGGTCCCTGTTCGCTCTGCAGCTCTGAACCTCTGTTCCGGCCACCAGGAGCCACCAGTCTGCCTGCGCAAGGAGTGTAGGTGCCAGAGCTCAACACTTGAGATGCTCGTCGTGAACCATCCTTGACTCACAGCGCTCCCTGGTCCTGTCTCTGAGCTCCACATTTAACGCTCTGCCTTTCAGCCTCCCCGCTCACCCGAGTCTATCAATGGAGTCGGAATCCAGCCCATCTGCTTCCCAGGTACCCAGAACAACCGCCTCTTGGGTGGCCTCGCCTGGCCTAGGGACTCCTGCGCACTGTGATTCTAGTAACACAGCTTCCGTGGCTGGCCCCGGCACCCCTCTCCTGCACAGTCGCTGTCTCAGTCCGTGGCGGCAGCCAGGCCTCTTCCCGACTCCAGGAAGGGGCCACCAGAGAAAACAATATTTAGCTGCAGTGGTGAAAATGCATGCTTCAAGGACACAGATCTGCCTTTTATCTTCCAGAACAATATGTGGCATTTAAATGAAGCTCAAAAGGCTATAATTTCATTTTTTTATAAAGCTCAAAATGTGCTATTTAGAGATAAACACATATGTGGTAAAAGCTACTTTAAAGAAGCCAGGGGCGGGGTGGGGGGGCGTTGACAGACACCATCAAGATCGAGGTCACCTCCAGAGAGGAGGCAGGGGACGGCGTCAGACAGGGGCCCACAGAGGCATGGTGAAAATTGGGAATGGTTTATTTCGTAAGTTGGGTGTTAGATTCTGAGGCTTTTGTTTTGTTAGTAGCTTTGGCAACATATGAATAATACATATATGTTTACGTGTCAAGTACTTTATGATCAAACATAAAACACAGTTTATAGGCTTCTATCCAGGTAAGGACCAATTGTCACCACATCTCCCGAGGAAGCTGGTTAGGAGGAGTGAGAGCACGTGTGTGGGGACGCCCCTGGGAAGGGTGGCGAGCCCTGAATATCTCTGGGCAGAGGCATCTAAGGGCCTACAGCCCAGGCATCTCACACACGTTTCCCTCCTACAGCTCTTCTCCAAGTCACACCCGTGGAGTTGCCTAGCAGTCTCTTACCCCATCCCCTCTTCCCCAGGTCCTTGCTGGGCAAGAGCAGATATAGAAGCCAAAAGGTGGTCACTGCACCAGCTTTATCCAGAGAGGACACAAAACCCTCACAGTACAGGGCTTCCCATTAGACCGGGCTGTACAGCGTGCCTTGGACCTTCACACCTCCAACTGCCTCTCCCAACCTGCAGGGAACGGTGGCCTAGGAAAGCCCTGGTCCACTTACCACCAATCACAGGCAGAGACAACACACAGACCTGGGTGGACCTGGCAGAAGTGTGCCCGGGTCTGTGCACACAGAGATTTTGGAAACATAAGGCAGGTATGCTACCCCTTGAGTACAGACCCGCCAAGAGAATGGGAGCCAAGAGAAAAAGAGGTGCCCACGTTACCTGGCCAACGCAGGGATGCTGCTCCTGGCTGTGACTATGAACCTGATCTAAGAGATGCCGGGCTCCCACCCAACAGGACACAGGCAGCTTTCCTGGGAATGGGGCAGTGGGGAGCAGAGAGCAAGGGAGTGAAAGGGTCCTCCCAGGGAGATATGGGGAGGGAGAAATAAGTAAGTGTCCCCCAACACCACAGGGACATCACTAGCTCCCACCCTACCTCAGGACCAAATGACAAGCCTTCAGAACTCCCACACCGTCACCCGGACAGTGTTCTCAAAACAGGAGTTGAAAACTGGCAAAATTATGGATGGTGATTTCTTGGCATTTGGGACTTGCTCAGAAAGCATGTGTCTGCTTCCTCCACGTGTGCCCTACAGGTCCCGAGGTTCCAGGTAGCCGGCACCCCACCCTGCCCCGCCCCACCTGGGCTTGTTGTCCTGCATCAGAACAGGATCTGCAGAGCGCTCCAAGTTAAACAGGGTGGCCTGTGAGCCTACCTCTTAAAGAGTCTGTAGCCTGGAGGTGGACTCTAAAAACAAACTGAAAAATGACATTCTTGGGAAGTGACACCCATAACTCCTCACTTTAGGAAAGAAATTGGGGTTGCGGGATAGAAGAGGAACAAACAGGTACAAACAAAGTATATGGGTTTGGAGTGGAGAGCCATTCAATCTACAAAGTTCACAAAGAGCCAAAGGCAGAGGTTCTCCCTGGAGCTTGTCCATCACAAGCGGAAAGAGTCACAGCTCAATAAATGTAGAGTTACCACCAGAAGGTCACCGTGGCCCATGGGGGAGAACCCTTCTAGCCCTGGCCAACACTGGAAGCTGGTCTAAAAAGAGATGAATCACTACTGT